GTTTAACATTGCACTTGTGAGATTAGATTCAGAACTGCGGGAGTCCGAACTGTAGGGCTTTTCTTTCAAACCTTTCGAAAGGGGGCGCGAAAAAGCCGAGCTACACCCTGTCTCAGCAACATGGGCCTGGACTTGATTTCAGCCTTGAGAATGTCCATGGATTCCCGCAATACTCCATCCATTTCATGGGCCAAAGCACTCATGGTTTGCTGGCCAACTAGTTTAGGCACATTAGCTTGACCAACTCCTTCTTCTTGCTTTGGAATCTCATCTGGTAAAGGCACCTCATGCCTTCTAGGCCTACCACACTTACCACCACCATGTCCACGTCCTAACATCCTAATGAAGGTAACAAAAGAGATTAGCACATTTACAAATGTGCCGAAGCTAACTCACTCATGTTCTAATATGGTGGACAACAGTAATTCACTCCACATAAGCATGTAGTCACATAAACACATACGAATTTCTTTCCTGGATAATGATTGTCCCGCGGCGTTACTAGAGTTCCAATTAGAAACAGCAGTGATCAAGTACTCTTCTAATAGGATTTCTAGAAACCTGTAGGCCTATTTAGTATCCTAGAAATTAAATTACATACCCATATAATCACATAAGTATGTTATCACATAAGCATACCATGCATACAAACATCTTTGTTAAGTGAGACAAACCCATTGTGGCAATAGCAACTTCCTACGTACCCAAAGTATTCAAACCCGGTACGCTCTGATGCCAAGTTATGACGTCCCGAAATAAATACATTAAACCATCCACGATGATAAGTTAATAACAATATGAATCAGAGTATAATGTCTTTTTATTACATAAGACTTAGTTGTACAAAAGGGTGACACATGCAAATATATATTCATAAGTCCTAATCCTGAATTTATAGCATGTGACAACAACAAAGATATGAAATAGAAGTTAAACAGATAATATAAATGCCCTAAAGGCTATAACTTTCCAAGACTGTACTTGGTTACATCAAAGTATATTTAAATCTAATATAGGTAAAGCAGTAGGCATGTACAAAACAATTATAACAAATAAACAAAACGAAGCTCTTGCTTCAATCCTCCTAAGCTACTGCCTTGGCGAAAGCATCTCACCAACACTTGAAAATGGTTTTCCTATATAGGGTGAGCCAAAGCCCAGTAGAAATAATCTAACACAATATATGAATCTTAACAAATATATAAAGATGAAATGCATATGCAATGCTTATGACCAATACGTTTTACATTCTTTTCTCAAAAAACATGCCGTGCTCAGCTTATATCACAATTCTCAAATCATGTCCTTCACAATAGAAAACAAGGGGGAATTATTAAACCGATACAACCTTTCACGGATATTTTGTCCGTAGGAAACTGTCAAACGACACCTATGTAAACGTAGCCTATACAAGAGCTACTATTGCCATTTTATAGATATTTCGTTCGCGGGAATCGGCACCCATGTTTACGAGCGTTTTTCGAGACTTTCACTCTGGACACACAGACCAACTTAATTTGGTGATACACACCTCTTTCCAACTTTCACTTATTTTTCTCAAAATCACATACATTTGCAATGTATTAAATGAGCAATAATAATCAATGCACATGGATGAAAAATTAGTTTTGATTCACCTAATCCTCATGCAATTTCTACAATAATCATAGCTATCCTCCACCGATAACCCAAAACAGATATTTCTAAATAGATATAAAATCTCCAATGCAAATAAACTTTCCAAATTTCAAGGTAAGTGATAATACATATCAAACTCCACCATCTATGTCAATATCTATCCAATTTCACATTTCCAACATCAATTCCATTTATTTATACAAAATAAATATTTGAACCATTTAGGATAAAACCCATTTTTCTTCCAAAATCCATTCCAAGTATCAAAATCAATGGTTTGCTCACAACTCAACCTCATTTCCAACGCTACAACTATTTTTTTATACATTCATTTGAAAACCCTTCTTTTGATTTTAAACCAAAACCCTAGGTTTGATCAAAATCCTAAAAGATCACAAGATTGTTTCATAAAAACAAATAGATAAGTTAAAAATCATAAAAGAGTGCAGAAAATCCCTACCTCAAAGCTAGAAGACAAGAAAAGCACAGATGAAACTCGAATGAAGCCGGAACCCAACTCTATTCGGATAAAAATGAGGCTCTAGGTGAGCTCTACCTTTTTAACAAAGGGAATATGGTGGAAAAATGAATAGATCTTGGTGTATTTGTAAAGAAAGAGTAAGTTCTAGAGAGAAAAGCTTTAGATTTTGGGTTTTCAAATGTTTAGAGAGATAGAAATGAAAAAGTGACATAAAAAGTTACTTTTACGAACTGATATACGCACAGTTCGCTCGAGCGCAAGAAGTGACGTTCAAGCATCCAGACATAAAAATAGTTATCACTCGAGCTCAAGAAGTGATACTTGAGCGCCATGACACAATAAAAAAGGATGTCATCGCTCGAGCACAGGAAGTGACGCTCGAGCGTAGAATGCACACTCTTAGTAGTTTTATAAACAGATGCCTATCGTTCAAGCTCAAGAAGAGTCGCTTGAGTGCACGACCACTTGAGTGTAGAATACACTCTCCCAGTAGTTTTGCAGATCTGTAAAAGTACTGAGAGTTCATAAAGGCTGCTTGAGCGCAAGAAGTGATGCTCGAGCATAGAGGCAAAATTTTGGACAACAAGGGTTTTGAAAAGTAAGGTACCGACTTGTTCCAAACACAACCAACACAACCCAATAGCCAAACTCAAGGAGGAAAAGAGAAATAAGACATGAACAACAATACAAAACCATGAAACCTGAATCCAGAATATCAAATGGGTCGGGTCTAAACCAGAATCGCTATACTGAAAGTCCAATGTGGTGGGATTTTGAATTTTACATTGACACAATACTCAATGTTGATGGATTTTAAATTACAAAACAAAACAAAATTCAAAAATACTTTTGTATTTGATGTTATAAAAGTTTGTAAGTTGGCTACTTAAATTTTTTTTATGCCAATTTGTGATTAAATTACGTATTTTGTGGTTTATATCATGAAATTTTCTGAAAAAGTCACATATTTAATGATAGGGTATGCACTCAAAAAAGAGTACATACTAAATTATTTTTTGATACATATACAGTATGTACATATATATACATAAAAACAAATATGGTAGTACTTTTGATGTGACAATAAATTATTTTTTTTTTTCAATTTGTTGTTGAATACATCATTTAGGCTGCCCTCTCTTTATCTATTTATCTCTGTGTGTGTGGAGGGAAATTTGAATTTCTTTGTAATAGTCAATTTTTTAGAAACCAAACACATATCTATTTTCAAAACATAGTTTTCAAATCACTTTTTTGAAAAATAACTCAAAAAACTAAAACCAAACAAAGTGAATTGTTTTAGAAAGTAAATTAAAAGTTGATTTTTTTCACTTTTTATTTTTATTTCTTTGAAAAAACATATAAAAAAATAGAGAGATAATATGATTTAAAAAAGTTAAAAAGTGAAAAAAAATGACTTTTAGCTGAATTGTTAAAAACAAATCTAAGTGTAAATAAGTAAAGTATTTTAAAAATGGAATTGTGAATGTGATTATGTTAAGAAATGTTTTTGGAAAATATAAATAAATAAGGTTGTTTATTAAGAAATATAACATTAAAAAAAAAAGTGGTTTAAATGTTGTTTTTTAAAACTCACTTTTTTTGGAAAATGTTGGTTTTTTTTGTTGAACAAATTTCAACTTAAAATTTAAATTGAGTTTAAATTGAGCTTTGTTATAAAAAAAAAAAAAAATTGTGATAAAAGTGGTTTATATTTTACTACTACCAATCTTTTTACAAGACATGTAAGAAAGAGAGAGACGAGAGAGATAATGAGAGTGGTGTAATTTGTTTAAAGATTGAGAATAAATTTTTTTTTTTTTTAACAGAACTTTATTATCCACCTCGATAACAAAGCCCATGACGATGCAAACACTTTGTGCATTTATGTGTAGATAATTTTACAAAATTTATTTGAAAGTCTGGAGGGAAATTTGAATTTCTTTGTAATAGTCAATTTTTTAGAAACCAAACACATATCTATTTTCAAAACATAGTTTTCAAATCACTTTTTTGAAAAATAACTCAAAAAACTAAAACCAAACAAAGTGAATTGTTTTAGAAAGTAAATTAAAAGTTGATTTTTTTCACTTTTTATTTTTATTTCTTTGAAAAAACATATAAAAAAATAGAGAGATAATATGATTTAAAAAAGTTAAAAAGTGAAAAAAAATGACTTTTAGCTGAATTGTTAAAAACAAATCTAAGTGTAAATAAGTAAAGTATTTTAAAAATGGAATTGTGAATGTGATTATGTTAAGAAATGTTTTTGGAAAATATAAATAAATAAGGTTGTTTATTAAGAAATATAACATTAAAAAAAAAAGTGGTTTAAATGTTGTTTTTTAAAACTCACTTTTTTTGGAAAATGTTGGTTTTTTTTGTTGAACAAATTTCAACTTAAAATTTAAATTGAGTTTAAATTGAACTTTGTTATAAAAAAAAAAAAATTGTGGTAAAAGTGGTTTATATTTTACTACTATCAATCTTTTTACAAGACAAGTAAGAAAGAGAGAGACGAGAGAGATAATGAGAGTGGTGTAATTTGTTTAAAGACTGAGAATAAATTTTTTTTTTTTAACAGAACTTTATTATCCACCTCGATAACAAAGCCCACGACGCAAATACTATGTGCATTTATGTGTAGATAATTTTACAAAATTTATTTGAAAGTCGAAATTAATCGGACTTGTTTTATGTTTTGACCACAAATTTTTAACAATCAATTTAATAAAATATATTTTTACTCAACAATTTTATAACAATTATATTTTAATTTCTTCATCACTTACACGTGCCTAAAAAAAATTTCTTATTCATTTTTCATTATTATTTTTTTTAAAACATAAAAGTCCCGAAGATCCCAGGACGACCGTGAACACTGAACAAACCACCCCAACAAAACCATATTGCGATTAAAAGCAGAGTAAACACGTCGGTTTGAGAGCGCACCTATATATAGATATATATATGTTCGAAACTAGGGCTTTTTCTTTGTCGTTCATTCTCGATTTCTCTATTCTCTCTTCAGCCGCTTCGCTTCAGCTACAGCCCACGAAGCTTTTTCTCAGGCTCCGGCAGCTCCAGGTACCCCAACTACTCTCCCTCAGAAAAGTTTACATACCATGAAAATTTATACAATGTCTAATCTAACCATGCTAGAAGATTAACTATTGGCAACAACAACAACAACAACAACCAATGATATATATATATATATTTTGTGAAAGGGCTTTCTTTGATTAAGTTGTATGAAATCAAGATTCAGTTTGCCCCTGTTTGTGCAAAAAATACCAAAATATAATTTTTGACTAAAACTAGGAGGTTTTGGATGAGTTGCGGGCATGCCAAGGCAACAGTGCTTAAGTTGTGATAATACTTTTAGAAAAATCTGACTTCTGAAAAACAGGAGGTTATGTGAGGCTCAAAGGTTGCCTCAATTAAGAGGATTTAAAATCTCCATGGAGTTTTGAATCTCAAAAAGAGAGATAAATAGACAGGAATAAACACCTGAAAATAAACTTTTATATATTCATGGGATTGAACGCATGAAAGTATGAAAATAAGTTTGAAAACATGAAATTGAGTTGCAAAATGAATGTAAACACAATTTAAGTCTCAAAACAATTCCTATGAACGCCAAAAACAATTAATTTGACACGGGTGTTTTGAAAACTAGGAAATTAAGGCTAAAACTATGGCAAAGATGCCTTTCTGGTCTACTCCTAAGTTGAACTAAGGCCAAACTAAGGATAAATAGCACTGGGCTATGTACTAAGTTGTGTTGAACGTTGGATTGATTCGGGTTTGCTCCATCTTCATTTCTTGTATTTGTAGATGCTGAAGCCTCCTGAAAATTGTGATTGCCTCTTGGAAATTAGCAACAGCCTCCCGAGAATCTCTCATGATCCCCTAAAAGTGGGGCACTAGATAGCCTCCTGGAATGACATCTGTCCCAACTCCTTTTTCTGAACGGGTGGTTGGGTAGTTCCTCATGAATAGGGTTGATTAGATCCTCCTGTAAACATGAGCCGTTGGATGGTGAGTGGGGTTCTTGGATGGTTGCCACCTGTCTTGACTTGGTCAACACATGCCTCCTTTGTAGGAACCGTTGCACATTTTGAAATAGAACCGTTGGATTGCTTCTGGTAGTGGATATGGTGGCCATTGGATCAAAGTCCCGTGTCCTGTTGAACTGTTTGAACCTTACCAATATCCAAAAATAAATATTAACATATATCCTAGCATATCCTTTAAGAGAGAGAGAAGGGAGCGTGTAGAACTTAGGGATTTGTTCCAATCACATCAGCACCATCATTGCATCTCCTTCCCAACTCTGCCACCGCATAAACCTGCTAAAGTCCCTCACGTTGCCTCACCACATGCACACATGGCACGCTACAATTGGCTGGTTATTTTTGGTACAAACAACCCCAAAGGCACAAACACACATAAAAAGGAAAAAGAATATACAACCAGATCAAATGAACCATGTTCTCATATTGTTAGCAATGGGTGTGAATGCAATAGGTTTATTTAACCATTATTATACATTTAAATTTTTGTGCAGTTTGATGAATGATGAAACCATTTACCAGCTTTTGTATGAGGAAACCTGTTAGTAGTTTTGGACAATTTGACAAATGAGAAAAACTATTTAGCATTATAGAATGTCATAGTTATTGAAAGCAGGGGGTATTTTTGAAAAAAAGAAAAAACATGAAAGTGTTCTTTGGGGTGTACATTTTATATAAAAGAATAGATCGTATTTTTTGTGCTTTGGATTGTTATAACCTACGTGACGTTCTTTTAAATTTACCCTTCAAGTTATATTGTTAATTTGTGATTTTGTTGTGTATTTATAATACTTTTTAACATACTCCTGTATTTGTTTTTTTGTATTCTTTTTGGTGGGTTAACCAGACACTGTTTTGTTTCTACATCTTTGTTTCTGCATGATGCCAAACAAGCTAATGATTTAGGACAGTTATTTTTTATTTTATTTTATTTTTTTAAGTACTGTGTAGTTGATATGCTCTGTTGGAAAACTTGATCAGCAAAGCAACATGTCTACTTCAGACGAAGAAATCACAAGGCTATACAGAATCCGTAGAACGGTGATGCAAATGCTGATGGACAGGGGATATGTGGTGGTAGATTCCGATTTAGAGACAAAACCTCAGTTCGTTCATAGATTTGGCGAGAACATGAAAAGGGAAGACCTTGTTATCAAAAAAGTCAAGCGCGATGATAGCTCCGAGGTGTGTTACCATTTATTTCTGAGCTTCAGTACCATCTTCAATAATAGAAGAAGTGATGAATCTTGTAGCAGCAAGTGGCTTGCTTTAGTTTGAAAAGAAAGGAAATTTAATCTACTAGTACTACTACATGATCTACATTCGATCATTCTGGTGGGGCTCCTAATTGGGGTGGAGCAAGGATTTTTGTTTAGGAAAAATCTTTAAATTATATTTATCAAAAAAAAAAAAATCTTGACATTACATGAAATTTTTCCTAAATAACAATCTAATTCTTCATTCCAACCCCCCCCCCCTCTCCAAAAAAAAAAGTAAATAAATAAAAATAAATAAATAAATAAAAAATTCATCCCTTACATAAACAAAATTTATAATTATCTAATCTATTAATTCAATGATGATTTAAGTTAATTATGATAATTTTAGAGAATACCAAGATTAGGAAATGATTGTGATATCATCCCCTTTTTATATTAATGAAGATTAATAATTATAAGGGAGCCCTAAGGCATAGAATAATTACAATTGAATAATAACCCAACTAATAATAATAATAACTATTTTTAACACTCTCCCTCAAGTTGGTGTGAGGATATCTCTCATGTCCAGCTTGCCTGGGATGTCATGCAATGGTTTACTCTCAACTCCCTTGGTGAGGATGTCAGCGAGTTGTTCACTAGTCTGCACAAATGGAGTACAGATTTTGTCACTAGTGAGTTTCTTCTTAATGAAATGGCGATCAATCTCAACATGTTTTGTCTTGTCATGTTGAACCGGATTGATGGCGGCCTTATTATCATAGTATAAACGCATGGAGTTTGTCTGATCAATACCTAGATCACTCAACAATAACTTGAATAATAAGAGCTCACATACCCCTTGTGCCATAACTCTAAACTTAGCTTCAGCACTTAACCTGTCAATCACATTCTGTTTCTTACTCCTCCAAGTAACGAGGTTGCCTCCAATAAAGGTACAATACCCTGACGTCGACCTCCTATCAGTTACTGATCCAGTTTAGTCAGTATCTGTATAGGCTTTCACATGAAGATGATTATGCTTTAAAACATAAAGACCCTTACCAGGAGCAGACTTCAAGTACCTCAAAATTCTTATAACAGCCTCGAAGTGAATCTGATGAGGAGCATGCATAAATTGGTTAACCACACTGACATCAACAACAATATGAGGACGAGAGTGAGATAGATAGATGAGCTTACCACTAATCGCTGATAGTTTCCTCCATCAATAGTTGCTCCTTCTTTATCATCTCCCAGTTTCTGATTGGGTTCTAGTGGAGTGTCGCAGGTCTTGCAGCCAAGCATCCCAGTTTCCTTCAACAGGTCAAGCACATACTTTCTCTATGAGATAAATATCCCAGACTTGGAGCGAGTAACTTCAATTCTCAGAAAATACTTCAAACTCCCCAAGTCTTTGATTTCAAACTCACTTGCTAAATATTTCTTTAACAGAGGTATTTCCTCACTATCATCGCCTGTAAGAACTGTCATCCACATAAACAATGAGCACTGTAGTTTTACCACGTGAGGAATGTTTCACCAATAAGGTGTGATCTGCCTGACTCTGTTTGAAACCATATTTAAGCATAACCTAAGTGAATCTCTCAAACCAAGTCCTTGGAGACTGTTTGAGACCATGTAAGGACTTCCGAAGCCGGCATACTTTACCCTCTGTCTGATGATCCTCAAAACTAGAAAGAATGTCCATATATACCTCTTCTTTTAGGTCACCATAGAAAAAAACATTTTTTACATCAAACTGATGAAGTGGCCAATCTAGATTAGCTGTTAGAGAGAGAAGTACTCTGACTGAATTCATCTTAGCCACGGGTGCAAAGGTCTCTTGATAGTCAACGTCATATGCCTGAGTGAACTCTTTTGCCACAAGTCTAGCCTTGTAACGCTCAATATAACCATCGACTTTGTGTTTCATAGTATACACCCATTTGCATCGCACAGGTTGTTTGCCCTTAAGTAACTCAGTCAATTCCTAAGTGCCATTCTTTCTAAGTGCTTTCATTTCCTCAATCATGGCAAATTTCCACTCAGAGGTATCAAGAGCATCCTGAAAATGGTTAGAAATGCTAACAGAGGAAATATTTGACACAAAAGCTCTATGTGAGGACGACAAATGAGAGTAAGACACAAAATTTGAGATAGGATATTGAGTACAAGATCTCGCACCCTTTCTCTTGGCAATAAGAACATTAAGAACAATATGAGTATAAAAATCAGTGGACTTAGGAGATTCAAAGTTACCTGGACCCTCATTAGAAGTAGGAGATGACAGTGGGTGAGCAGAAGTGATCTCTTGTATCCAGTTAACTTTTTATCTGTCTTTGTCCTGGACATAAACTTGCCTTTTCCTGTTCTTGGTGACATTGGATTCTGTAGTGCCAGTAAGAGGTGGTGGTGTAAGAACAACTGGTTCCTCCATAAGAATCACAGGAATCACTTCATACCAAGGCTCCCCCTGAAGGGAGGACTGTGACACCGGAGAGGACAAGAAATAGGATTGGGACTCAAAGAAGGTGACATCAATGGACACAAACCACTTACGAGGAGGAGGGTGACAATACTTATACCCTTTTTAAGTAGGAAAGTACCTAAGGAAAACACATTTGAGGGAGCGAGGGTCCAACTTACCACGAGTAGGAGAGTGATTGTGGACAAAACAGACACAACCAAATATTTTGGGAGGAATAGAAAACAAGGACTCGTAACCTAGGAGGACTTGAAGGGGAGTTTGTTTTTGCAAGACCTGAGTAGGAAGATGATTATTAAAACCGCCAACGGTGAGAAAAGCGTCGCCCTAGAAGGACCGAGACACACTCATAGAAAAATACATGCACTGAGCCATGTCAAGAAAATGATGATTCTTGCGTTCCGCCACCCCATTTTGTTGAGGAGTATTGGTGCAAGAGGTCTGATGGATAATGCCACGAGTAGAAAAATATTGCTCCAACCCAGAATCTATGTATTCACTCCCATTATCAGAATGGAAGATTTTGACAGTGACCGCAAATTGAGTACAAATCATCTAATGAAAATTGCGAAACACAGAGAAAGCCTCACTCTTGTCTTTCATGAGGTACACTCAAGTAGTACGAGAAAAATCATCAATAAATGTAACTAACTATCGATGACTTTTCACGGACACAACACAAGATAGACCCCAGACGTCAGAATGGATTAATGAAAAAGGAATTAAATTTTTATTAAAATTGGAAGCAAAAGAAGATCTTTGTTTTCCAAGTTGACAAGACTCATAAAAAAACTCAGACACATTATTGTTTGCAAAAACATATGAAAATAAATGCGTAAGTAAATAAAAGGAAGGATGTCCAATACGCCGATGCCACAACCATAAATCATCTTTGGTAGTAAGACTTGTGGTGGGAGAATAAGCAAGCTTTTTGAGTTGATCCAGGAAGCAGAGATCATTTTCTGCACTATCACTGCCAATCGTCCTCCTCATGACAAGGTCTTGAAAAAGACAATGATTAGGAAAAAAAAGTCACATTACAATTCAAATCCTTTGTAATACGGCTCAAGGATAACAGGTTAACAGAAAAATTGGGGACATGGAGAACAGAAGATAAAGGGATGGTAGGAGTGACATGGACCAAACCTTTCCCAGAAATAGAAGAAACAGTGCCATTTGCAATCTTAATTTTGTCCTGACCTAAAGATGGCTTATAGGCAGAGAAAATGTTAGAGGATCCAAACATATGATCTGAGGCACGAGAATCAATAATCCAGGATAGAGACTTATGAGAAAGGAAAACACGAGAAGAAGAGGCTAAGTTACCTAAGCGGGCAAACGACGAGAAAGATATATTGCGAGCAGTAGAAGACTGGCAGTCTAGCAGGTGACGCAAAACATCCTCAAGCTCATGAGTTGTCATGCCAGAGAGACCATCAGAAGACTGGCCAACGGAAGCGGAAGTAGAATCAAGTATATCAACAACACTAGACTGATGAGCCTGTGAATGAGAGCTACATCCTCTAGATTGGCTTGACCGACCTCCTTTAGAACCAAACCGATCACCTCGGCCCTTGAATGAAGTCCTATGAAGCTTCTAACATGTCTCATGAGTATGCAGCGACTTGCGATAGTAATCACAGAATACAGACTCCTTGGTGGCAGATGAAGGGATGGGAGTCAGGCTGATGCCATCTTTAGGGGTAAACAATAATGCTAAGCGGTCAGTAGAGACAGGTGACATCATAGCAGACCGACAACTCTCCTTATTCTGTGCATAAGCAAATGCCTTATGAAGTGAAGGAAGAGTGTCCATTCTCAGAATCCAACTCCGAACTGGATTATACTCCACATTGAGACATGCCTGAAACTTGAAGATCCTTTCCTATGCAATGAACTTCTTGTACTCGACTGAATCAGCAGTGCAAACAGGCTTATAGTGCTGTAGGTGATCAAGGCGTTTCCAGCCGTTGGTGAGGAAGGTGAAGTACTGAAGAATCGTCTGCTCCTCCTGAACCAAGCTCTTCATAGAGCGGCTCAACTCGAATGCCTGTGAAAAATTTCCTTTGTGGGAATAGGTGATAACCACAACATCCCAAACATCCTGGGTAGTCTCCATATACAAGTAGCCCTCGCCAATTTCTAGTACCATTGAATGAGTAAGCCAACCCATAATCAAAGAGTTGGTAATCTCTCATTGGTCGTAACTCGGGTCAGTGGTGCTGGGTGCATGTATCCTGCCATCAACATACCCCATCTTTCCTCTGCTTAGTCATAGTAGTAGGCATAGTAAAACTCTCACTCCTAGGTATCTGAGAAGTAGTCAACAAACTGATGGAATTTGCCATAGATACTGTACTACCGAACCCTCAACAAAACTAGTGTCAATCACAAACCCGAAAGATGGTGGTGTAAGGGAAAAACAACATAAAGAATTAAGAACTCATAGAGATGTTTTTTTTTTCCCTTTTTTTTTTGTTTTTATTTATTTATTTATTATTTTTTTTAGAAGAGAAACGAAGAAACAAGACATTGTTCAAAGAAGTAGTCCAAGAGTGTTCAATATCTTATGACCAAGTCAACAACAAACACAAAAATAGGGTACACACACAAACGACAGTAGAGGGAGAGAAGGACGACAACAGAGAGAGAGACGATACCACTAGAGGTGTCGCATGGAGCCAAATAAGCATAGGGGCTGTCGGTGGCAGTCGGCCAGGCAAGGAGAGCCTATACCAGTGGTCGACTAGGCCAGGAGGCCTGTCTACAACGACCAACGAGAGACTAGGATGGCCTTCGACACTGATTTCGACCAAACCAGGTGATTTTCGAACCCTAGGGTGACCTTTGACACTGATTTCAACCAACCAGGGTGATTTTTGAACCCTACAGTGACATCAACCCAGCCGAAACAACCTGGGTCCTTTTCGGCTGCTGAAGTGGGTTGTCTCCGGTTGGTGGCTCTGGTGGGTAACAAAATTGTGTGAGTAGATGGGTTTAGGTTTTAGGGTTAGGCTCTAATACCATGATAATTTTAGAGAATACCAAGATTAGGGAATAATTGTGATATCATCCCTTTTTTATCAAGGTTGTTAAAATCGGGATCTTACGTTGGATCGTTGGAGGTGTTTATATGATCGAATCGTAGAATCAGATCGAGAATCGTAAGATCCTATTGGAAAAGACAAATTACATAATAATTTAATTTAAATAAATATTTCTTAAAAAGTATACACAAAATGAGCCTATATTCTATTAAAAAGAAGTGAATATATTGTGAAAAATATAATATTCCATGTAAAATGTACATATAATATTATACAATAGAAAACTCGATGGTAAAGTTTAGTATTTCATCAAAAAAAAAAGGTGCAGAAGAAGAATTCTATAACAAAATACTTTACAATCTACAATAATGCATAAAAAGTGAAGAGAGATTATTTAATGAAGTTGGAAATGAAAATAGATTAAGATCTCAAAAGAGCAGTTTAACCGAATGATAAGGTTTGCCGTTAACATCCCTGGTGGAGCGGATTCGAGTCACAAAAATAATCTTTCAAAAAATTGGGATAAAATTACAATCATCTTATCCTCCTTAGACTCCGCTAAAGTTAAGTTTGCTTTTCCAACTAGTTAATTTTCTTAAATTACCGCAATATTTTAATGTTTGTTTTTCTTAGTCTATTTGATTCATACTAAATTTTTTTATTTATTTTGACCACAAATTAGTATTTAGACAACAAATATAAAATTTACAATAAAATATGTCATACAATACAAAACAAGGCTTGTAAATAGGATCGGATAGGATTGGATTTGGATCGGGATTCCACGATCCTATAAGATTCCATTACCAAGATCGAAAGATCCTATTACCAAGATCGAAAGATCCTACCTATAAGGAATTTTTTACACGATCTGGATCGATTGTATTCAAATGGATTGTAAGATCATAGGATCGTAAGATTCGGATTGGGATTCTGATAACCATGCTTTTTATATTAATGAATATTAATAATTACAAGGGAGTCCTAAGGCATAGAATAATTACAATTGAATGATAACCCAACTAATAATAATAATAACTATTTTTAACAAATTATACAATTTAGTTAGAGAGAGAGACTAGTAGGTGGGATGAGGGAAAAAACAAACTCAATGGGTGCAAATTCTGTATAGAGTGTATTTTATTTGACAAAGTATATATCACAGTATAAAACAATATTTTGTTAAAATCTGAGTGAGGGCAATTGCACCTGTTGCTGCCATGTAAATTGGCCCATTCATCCCAACCCAATAAACTTGACCCGGTTTTTGTTTAGGAATTAGAGGATTGCTTAATATCCATGCACTGTATTTATATGGTCATCAATCAATTTAGTTTTCCATGGTACAATTTATGATGCAATATTTTGTATGTATTTAATTAGCCTAAAGCAATTTTCGATGTAGATGTTCGTTGACATTACCTCATGATTATGCAACTAATCCCAAAACAGATGACAACTACACCATTTTAGCTAACACTACTTGATTAATTACTTTTTTCCTGTTTCGACGTGGATATTATATTTGGAGGGAAGGTATTCCTATGCTCCTTGCTTGTTAGCACTGCATCTATTATTTGTGTGATTGTTGGTTTTCTTTGGACCAGATTTATGTTTTCTTTCCTGAGGAGCCGAAGGTTGGTGTCAAAACAATGAAGACTTATACCAATCGCATGAAATCAGATAATGTTTTCCGAGCAATATTGGTTGTTCAACAGAATCTCACACCCTTTGCGAAACAATGCATAAATGAAATAGCAGCAAAATTCCATTTGGAGGTTTTCCAGGTGATTCTTGATGCTTTTCACATTGATCTCTTTTCATTTGAAGATTTTCCCTAATTTAATCTATCAGTCTTGCATTTCTTGAGAAATCAGTAATGTCCATTAATTTTGCTGCATGCCATTATTGTCTATTTGGTTGATATAGGAGGCAGAGTTGTTGGTCAACATTAAAGAACATGTTCTTGTACCTGAGCACCAGCTCCTGACAAAAGAGGAAAAGAAAACTTTGCTGGACAGATACACAGTTAAAGAAACACAGGTCACTTATCTGGAATTTCAATAATGCACTTGCTAGATTAAAAATGATCAATATGATTTAGCTTCACAAACTTTGTATTAGTATGCCATGCCATATGTAACAAGCAATTCAACTTCATAACTGCTGGAGATGTTACTGTTTCCAGAAGTTATGATAATTATTTCCAAATTCAAATTTGAATGTCAAACTTGGTATAGAAAACAAGGAAAATTGGGCTCCAGTTGGCATTGAGCTTGGGGAAAATGCTTGCATAGTTTAATTTGTTCGTGCTTATGAAGTTTGGCTTGGGCTTCACTTTTTTCTGTTCTAGAGATGGATTTCCTCACCTTGTTTTAAGTTTGCCAAGCAAAACAGTTGCTAGTGTTACCACAGGGCGTATTGTGCATAAATTAAAGTCTTTAATGGCCAACACTCCAAATTGAAGTCATAATGTCACATTGAGTCATGGTTGTTAGAATCTTATTATTCACAATTTGATTCATACGTTTCAATACGAGTTAAAAATGATTCATTTTGTTCTGTTGAATCTTAAATTGTGAATTTTATGATTCAATTGTGATTCACTATGATTCATTGCTATTCATACATGAAATGACATCGTTTTATCAAAATAAGAGAAAGATCAATTAATTGTAATAATGAAGTTATATTTACAATTATACAATTTAGTTATATTATATTTATTTCATTTTAATATATTATGATAAATAAAGTGAATCATACCATTCATGATTCATTATTTTAACAAAACAATTCATGGTTTGATCTCAATGCATTTAAGGAATGAATTAATGAGAAACACCCTCAGTCTGTTTATATCCTCTTCACTGACTTTTTATTTGGATATTGATTGTTGTTATAGACTCATACGAATGTCTACATCATCTATTTGTAATTCAGTTTGTTTTTGTTTTTCCGATTCCACCAGATTTAATTTTTTGTTTGTTTGTTTGTTTAAACTGTTTGGAGTCCAGCTACCTCGAATTCAGGTGACTGATCCAGTTGCCAGATACTATGGGATGAAGCGTGGGGAAGTTGTGAAAATTATTCGACCAAGTGAGACTGCAGGCCGTTATGTCACGTACCGCTATGTTGTCTAAATTTCTTCCAGCATCCTAACTAGTGGAGTAGAATTCTGAAGCCTTGTTCTGGTTGAAAGCATTCTGGTTTTGTTTCACTTGATGAATCAAGCAACTAGCAGACGAGTAATTTAGAACCTAATCAAATTTTGAACTTAATTTTTCTGTTGCCTATTAGCCTAATTTGGTTAGCTTATATGTATACATATCTTGGTTAGCTTATATATATATACATATAAAGACAGTTATTTGTTTCGAACCCTAGTAATGGACGTTGTGATGTTCTCATATAAACATTTTGTATTGTTCTCGGCATTTACATTCCATTTTGGCAATGCATGTGATTTATTCATCTACTGACATTTGTGTTGCAAAATGGTATGTTCTCTGAACTCTGGCTCCTTGGCGACAATTGTATTGCTCTACTTGTGGAATCTTTCTTTTTATCATTTTTCCTTTGTCATGAATGAGAGAAGAGTATTGAATGGTTTTAGTATTGCACAGAAAGTTCTTGCAGGTTATATATACTTGCTTGTATGCAGAGTCTGAACAATTACTACAGCTTTAATTTATAGATGAATGATTTCTGATTGCCTTCAAGGCAGTGAATGGTTAAGAAACAACCTACTTGACATAAGAGACGCTAACAAGTAAAAATCAATGTATAATTCTCAGCCACTAGATTTAGATAACAGAAATTTAGTCATTGATTAGTAATTAGTAAAGCAAAACACACACACACACACACAAAAAAAAAAAAAAAAAAAAGACTCCTCGGCACTGATCACGGAGACTGGATTATGGGCATTTGACATTACATTGGTAAGTCATCAGTGCTTGTTGCTGAACTTTAGCCCTTGTGGATTGGCCTCCAACCAGCTTGGGAGGAAGGATTACAAGGTCACTCAAGCTATCAATGGATTGAATAGAGTGGACCCTAATTTTAATCTTTGTCAAGGAATCAGGGATCTCCTTGCGTGGGATTGGCAATGTCACCTTCAAAGGATTAGGCGCGAAGCTAATGCCTGCACTGATTGTTTGGCCAAACAAGCTAGATACCATGTGACTACCCGACCAGTTCTTCGAGCTCCTCCAACCTCTGTCATTCCCTTGATAGATTTAGATCGGCAGGGACTTAGATCCCTTTGCCTAATTTCTTTATCATTCTTTTTCTTTTGGGGCCTCGGCTCCCATTTTATAACCAAAAGAAAAAAATAGTTGCTTAGGCCAAAATGGTCATGCTACACAATATATAATTAAGAAATTCTTACTGATGCTTCACTTTTAAAATACAAGATGAATTGTGAAAAGTAACATATAAATATCAATTCTCTATGCTAGGGGCAAGTTGGGCAATTGACTTTTAAATAATTTTTATTTTATTTTATTTTATTTTAAAACATCTACAATGGATATCCAAAAAATGATGAAAGTATAATTTTGATGTTGCATAGGATATGTTAGTATGTGTTTTAGTACAAGATATAGCAAAAAAGATGTGAGATTTGAAGGAGTTTGTTAATTATGAAGAGGCTTCTAACAAGGTGGAGTGAAAAAGAGGAGTGAAAGAGAAAGAAGTAAGAGAGAGAACAACTCTTGTTACAACACACTAGATATTTTAATAGATATATATTATTCTTAACACATATTTTAATATTTTCAATATTTTCATTGTAACACCCTTGTACACTCACTAAATTAACAGATGTTAACATATAAAATTTGACTTCACTTTTATTAGTTTTGTCATATAACATACATTGATACACAAATTTAACATCTATATTGGAGAAGCCCTTAGGATAAAATTATTGTTAAAAGAACTTATGTATTTAGTAAATGCTAGGAACTTATTTTTTGAGTAAATTACACTCTTGTCTTATAAGGTTTAAGAAAAATATATAGTCTTTTCTTTTCTTTTCTTTCTTTCTTTCTTTTGTTTTTTTTTTTTTGTTTTTTTGTTTTTTTGTTTTTTTGTTTTTTTTTTAAATTTTAAGTATAGCTTTCCATCTAAAAAAAAGAAAAGAAAAATATGACTAGTCTCAAACTTTCAATATAATTACATCGATAATTTATATAACACTCGGACAATTTTTCTTCAATAATTCATTATTTGTATAAATAAAATCATATGTTATCATATATATTTTTCGAAAATATATATTTATTTTTGCTTAGTTCAATGTCTAATAGGGAGATGACACATGGATATATAGGTAACATGTAGACATATAGGTGACATGTACATATAAACGGACAAATAGATAGATAAATAGGCCTAATAGGGTCTTTCAATTTATTATTGTCCTTTTGATCTTAGAAGAATATGATTTGAAATTATTACCTCAAGGCCATGTTTGTTTGGGTGGACATGAGCTTGGGATTGGACTAATAGTCCAATAAAATTATTAATCCGATGTTTGGTTAAACAATTAAAGTACGGACTAATTATTTTAAACTTAAATATTAGTTAAGATAGGATACATAATCCAACGGATTCGTAGTCCTAGGACAATTAGTCATAGGAATGCTAATCCAGTCCGCCCAAACAAACATGGCCCAAAAGTTTTGAAATTTGATCTATAACTTGAGTAATCTATTTTTTTCTTAGCAGAAAGGTTGAATTGTTCTTATTTTTATGTTTATTTTTTCATTGTTAGCCTTTTTTTAGCAAAAAAATAATTTTTTTTTTGCTTGTTTTGTTTTGGCTTTATTAACCTAAAAATAACTAAAAAACAATTAAAACCAAACTGAAGCAACCTAAGTCATTACTCTACAATAAAAAAAAATAAAAAAAAGTTCACTTTGCTTGGTTTCCCTTTTCCAAAAACACTTTTTAGAAAATTCTATTTTCTTATTTTTCGTATTTTTTTGTTTTTACTAAATTTTTTTAATATTTTAAACAATTTTACTGAATTTCAGAAAATTCTAACCTTTTTTTTTAAAAAACAATTAATTTTAAACTTTTTAAAAGATATATATCTCTTTTCTTTGTGAAAAAACAGTTTGCTTGGTTACACTTTTTCAAAAATACTTTTCAGAAAATTTTACTTTCTTATTTTTCGTGTTCTTTTGTTTTTATTGATTTTTTAAATATTTTAAGCAATTTTTTTAATTTTTAGACATACCTAAATAAATATACCTAAAAAATAAAAAATTCATGAAAAAAAACTTTTAAAAATTCACTAAATGCCAAAAATATAAAAAAATACTAGAATTCAATATATTTTTTAGTATTTTTATGTATTTATTAATTTTTTAAAATATTTTTTCACAATTTTTTTATTTTTTAGATACATCTAAGTAAGGTGCATCTAAAAAAGTAAAAAAAATATTTAAAATTTAAAAAATATTTACTAAAAACAAAAAAAATACGAAAACCAAAAAATTCAATTTTTAAAAAAAAACTCAAACCAAACCTGATTATATTATATTATATCTTATTTTATTTTTATGTTTTTATTTTTTTCAAAACAGAAGCATATTCCATATGTTTAGTCCAACAAATGGATGATCCGTACATACATACATATTCCATATTCCATTCCAGTATATACACACATTCTAGGGTTTTACAAATAAATTTCTCACCTTTTTTTTGACTGAGAATCTGAATCTCTCTCTCAATCGAGGATTCTCCCACTAGAAGATGAAGCTCAAGCAATTGGAAGGTCATCTTGGATCCCTTCAACAATTCTCCAACCCAAAGGTCTCTCTCTCTCTCTCTCTCTCTCTCTCTCTCTATATATATATATATATTGAAATTCTGTGACTGAAGGGAATATCATGCTCTGCTTCTGCTGCAGATTGAACTAGAACAATACCCAACTGGACCCCATATCGCTTCTCGGATGTTATACACTGTATACTCTTCTTTCTCCTCTAGCTTTTCTTTCTTCAAAGTTTTCTATTTTTGTTTTTTTTCTTGGGTTTGTGTTTTTACAAATTGTTGTTTTGTAAAAACATGTTTTTGGAAACCCATTAGGCAGAGAATTCATTTGGGGATGTGGCCAACAAGGTAGTGGCAGATTTTGGTTGTGGGTGTGGTACATTGGGTATTGCAGCTGCTCTCTTGGGTGCAGAGTGAGTTGTTTTTCTATCTTCTTTCTTCTTTGTTTCTGCTTTTCAAATTGGTCTGGTTGTTAACTTTCAGTTGGAGGTTTGAAAATTAGGTTTTGTAAAGTAATTGTATGATTTTGATGTTTGTGCTAGTGATGTAGGGCCCAATCAAGAATGAGAGAGAATTTAGAGAGACAAATATCTCAATCAATCAATATTCATATCTAAAAGTTAGTTACAAAGTGGTTATCCTCTTCTAGATATAGGCTACAATTTTCCCTCCACTAACTACCACATGTTATGCACATGCTATCCTACATCATACCCTCACACTCAAAAGAACTTGTCCTCAAGTGAAGACAATAGAACACAATTAACGCACTAGAAATGAAACCAAAACTAGAAGATACAATCCAATCAAATCCCAAAGCGAAGAACTAATCTGCAATGATGTTGGCACGGGAATCATCTGGCAAATAAGGTACAAGGTGTTGCACATTAAAAGTGTTGGAGATGCTCAAATGAGGCGGCAATTTGACTTGATAAGCATTGTCGTTGACTTTGTGCAACACAAGGACCCACCTTTCTATCACTTAACTTGGTGTAAGCACCATGAGAATACCTTTCTTTGCTCAACACAAGCCATGCAAGATCTCCCACTTTAAACAACACTTTCTGTTTATGCACATCGACGGCCAATTTGTATTTGGCATTGGACTTGTCAATTTGGGCCCTAACTTGAGCATGAACATTCTTCATGAATGTGGCCATGTCCTCCGCTTTAACATTTCCCTTCCTTGAGATAGGCAAAGGAGCCAAGTCCATAACACTTGAAGGTTTCATTCCATAAACTACTTCAAAGGGAGAAGTATTTATGGTGCAATTGATCGATGAATTGTAAGCAAACTTGGCCAAAGGAATAATATCATCCCAACTCTTGGGATGATCTCCCGCAAGACACCTCAACAAGTTACCAAGATTTCGATTCACTACCTCCGTTTGGCCATCGGTTTGTAGATAAAATGTAGTGCTAAAGTTCAAGTCCGTGCCAATTTTCTTCTACGAAGTTCTCCGACAGTAAGCAGGGAACTTAGTATTTCTATTGGACACAATAGAGGTAGGTACCCCATGCAACTTATAGACTTTCTTGAAGAAGAGATTAACAATATTTGTAGCATCCAAAGTCTTCTTGCAAGGTATGAAATGTGCCATCTTAGAGAAATGGTCCACCACCATTATAATAGAATCACTTCTCCTTTGTGTAGGAGGTAAACCCAACACAAAGTCCATAATAATGCATTGCCAAGGAGCATCCGGCACCGGTAAAGGCATATATAATCCAGCATTAGTTGCAACCCCTTTGCTTCTTTGACAAATTTGACACCGCTTCACATAGTTGCCCACATCCTTGGTCATACCCGACCAATAGTAAGCATCTTGAAGTAAACCAAGGGTCTTGTCTTTACCAAATGTCCCAATTTGTGATGCTCAACCAACAAATGCATCCTCAAAGAATAACTAGGCACACACAACTTAAGGCCATGGAAAAGGAAACCATCCCTAATCATGTGGCTTGGATAAACAGCCCTATCCCCTCTTTGCAAAGTATCAAAAATCTTGAAAAAATAAGGATCACTTGTATAGAAGGTGTGAAACTCATCAAAACCCACAACTTTATTCTTCATCTCAACCAAAGAGTCGTTTGCCTACTCAAATCGTCGGCCACTTTATTAAGAACCCCCGATTTATGTTGCAAAGAAAATGTAAATTGTTGCAAGTAAGCGACCCATTTGGCATGTCTCTTGTTGAGATGGGATTGGCTATTGATGTACTTGAGGGTCTCATGGTTGGTGTTAAGCACAAACTCCTTATAAGGCCTCGTTTGGGAACAGGCTATTTTAGTAATTTTTTGGCTTTTTACGAAAAGATGTGCAGAAAAGTAGAGAGGTGATGTGACTAGTTTTAGTTGGCTTTTTGACTTTTTGGCTAAAATAGCCACTCCCCAAACGAGGCCTAAGCAAGGTAGTAGCTCCAATGTTTGATGGCTTGGATAATGGCATAAAATTCCAAGTCATAAGTAGAATACTTGAGTTTGCCCCATTCAACTTTTCACTAAAGAAGGCAATTGGCTGCCCTTCTTGGCCAAGGACGCCCCCAATGCCTAATCCCGAGGCATCACAATCAAGTTTAAAGGTTTTGTCAAAGTCCAGTAGTGCCAAAATTGGAGCTTCGGTAAGTGCCTTCTTCAAAAGTTGGAAGCTATCGGCGGCTTTTTTGTTCCATTCAAAAGTCTTAAGCTTGAGAATATTAGTTAAAGGAGCTGTGAGACTACTCAACATCTTGATAAACCGCCTATAGAAGGTAGCCAACTCATGAAAATTCCGCACTTCTTAAATACTAGAAGGAGTAGGCCAATCCACAATCGCCTTGACATTCTCCGTATCCATAAGCATCCCACGAGAAGACACAACATAACCCAAAAAAATAACTTGATCCACAGCAAATGTACACTTCTTAGTGTTGCCATGGAACTTTTCTCGCCTCAAAAGCTCAAAGACTTGCTGAAGATGGCACAAATGCTCTTCCAAGCTTCGATTATAGATCAAGGTATCATCAAAATAAACCACTGCACAAACACCAAAAAGTGGTTTAACATTTGTGTCGTCGCTCTCATAAAAGTGTTTGAACATTGGTAAGTCCAAATGGCATCACAAGCCACTCAAATAGTCCATGAGGTGTTTAAAAGCCGTTTTCCAATCATCACCCTTCGTAATACGAATTTAATGATAACCGCTTCTAAGATCAATCTTAGAAAACACCTTTGACCCGGTAAAGCAATCCAATGTATCATCCAATCTTGGAATTGAAAAGTGATATTTGATGATAATTTTATTGATGGCACAACTATCCACACACATGCGCCATGACCCATCCTTCTTGGGTGTTAAAAGAGCCGGAACACTACAAGGACTAAGGCTAGGCCGTATATATCCTTTAACCAAAAGCTCGTCTACTTGCCGTTGCAACTCCTCTTTCTCCTTTGGTGACATGCAATAGGCCGGTTTATTTGGAAGTGCCGACCCGGGTACCAATTCAATACGATGTTGGATGTCATGCATGGGAGGTAGATTGGGAGGAAGTTCTTGGGGAAGACATTGGCATACTCTTCCAAAAGAGTAGTCACATCAACCTTTTCCTTAGTAGTATACGTGTGCACATTGGAACCAAGGCAACCCCAAAATCCCGAGTTTCTTCCAAAAATTCCTTGGAGGCAAGCAAGGTGGTAGAACTAGAAGATGGTTTAGAAGTAACTTTCTCCTTCATTGGAAGCAAGGTAAGATGGCTTTCATTCTTGAGAACGGTGTAAGTGTTCTTTTTGTCATCATGCAAAGATTGCCGGTCATATTGCTAAGGACGCCCAAGTAGAATGTGACACGCATCCATAGGCACGACATCACACCATAACTCATCAAAGTACTTCTTCCGAATAGAAAACGCAGTCAAACACCGTTTGGTCACCTTTATCTCATTGCCTTCCTTGAACCAAGATAGGGAATAAGGATGTGGATGGATGGTCCTCCACCGGAAGGTTAAGTTTAGCCACCACCTCTTGAGAAACCACGTTCTCACAACTTCCACTATTAATGATCATGTTATAAACACATCCACCAATATTGCTAGTGTTAAAGAAGATATTGGTATGCAAACAATCTTCTTGGCTCTCTAGCTTCGGTGATAGAAGCGTCTTCTTCAACATAAGAGCAAGACCCTCTTCTTCATCACTATCTCCACCGATTTCAATATTGTCTGAAGTGTCATAAATTGGAGCCCTCTCATAGTCATCGTGTTCCTCAACTTCTTCAATAAGAAGTGCCTTGTTCCGATTAGTACCCATATTCTTGCGGCACTTGAAAAATCTATGGCCTGGTTCTCCACATTTGAAGCACTTGAAAGTTTCACCTTGGGGTGGATTTTGGCTTCTGGAGGCACCATTAGAACGAGGAGCTTGAGAGGAAGAAGCACCCTTGTCCGTAAAGTTGGAAGGAAGACTAGCTTTGCCAAAGTTAGGAGGAGAAGGACTTGGCCTAGAACAACCTCGAAACCCTCCTTGGGAGTATTGTCCCATTTGAGAGACACGACGACTTTGTTGCTTTTCCACGGCTAAGGCTCGATTATAGACTTCGGAAACATTACAACATGTATGCTAGGCAAGAACATTTTGGATCGAAGACTTCAAGCCGCTCACATAACGAGCCACCCGTTGCTCTTCACTCTTATTTAAATCAACTTGAGCAATGAGTTGATAGAAAGACTTTATGTACTCACCCACACTCTCAACTTGCTTGAGAACATGAAGTGCTTGATAGACACTTTGAAGGTAGTTGAACCCTTCAACTTCTTCTTCATTTTCTCACAATCACGAATTTTTTCCTTGCCACATCGCCGACTATTAAGTTGAAGTTGTTCCCACCAAGCGGAAGCTCTTCTTTTTAATCGAATGGCAACAAGCTTGGCCTTCTTATCATCGGAAACCTCACCATAATCAAAGATCCGCTCGATGGTGTTGAGCCAATCAATGAATTCGTCAAGATTAAGGCTTCCATGAATGTCGGGAAACTCAATCTTGATGTTGTTCTCTCATTTGTGTTCCATCCTACCCACATCTGTTCGACGCCTTCGAGGAGCCCAAAAGATATTATCAAAAGAATGATGAATACCACCTTCGGTATCATCGGAACCATCACTACCATCAATAGAATGAGGAAGGAGACGTTGCACCGTCTCGATTAGAATGGCAATTTGCCGTCTCATTTCAGCAATTTCATCTCTTGGATATGGAACCTCATTACCCTTGGTATCATTACCCAAATTTGAGGTATAACCCCCTATGTTACATGGACTCCGCACTTTGGGGCGAAGTACCCATGTCAACACGACACAACACGGGTGCGGGTGTGGGATCTATGTCGGATTCGCCTCTTCTCTCTCGGACACGGCTAATCAAAAAGGAAGAAGAAGGTTGAGATATTTACATTGATGTATGGGTTCAAGATCTTGATCGTGTCTTTCGATCTTCTTTGTCTCGATCTCCTTTTCTCTCTTTATCACGATCTCCTTTTCTCCCTCGATGTCTCTCTCGATCGTGCTGTGCATGTGTGAGAGAAGAGAAGAGAAGAGACAGACCCATCGTGTTGCTGTGGTGTGAGAGAGAAGCGAAGAGGAGAAGGACAGACTCATCGTGCTGCTGCTGCTTTTGTTTGTATCAAACCCTAATGGGTTGGACCAAATAAATAAATAAAAAGCTTGCTAGTATAAATCCTAATGGGCTGGACCCAAACAAATAAATAGAAAGTTTGGGCACTGGTTTGTATCATAATAATTAATATTATAAACTATAATGGGCTGGACCAAAAAAAATAAAGAAAAAATTTGAACCTATTGGCTGGTTTGTATAATAATAAACCCTAATGGGTTGGATCCAAATAAATAAATAAATAAAATATGTGGGTCTATTTATAAACTCTATTCAATAATAACATGGGTTATTCTATGACTTATCCATATGTTTGATTCTATTTATAAAAAAAATTATTGGGTCAACCTTTTTTAAACTTATCTTCATATAATAAATATATTTAAAAAATAACTATTTAACTCATTTTTATATAATAAATATATTTTAAAAATAACTATATAACGTATCCCCATACCCATATCCACATTTGGATCCATATCTATGTATTTTCAATTTTTAATTTTTAAGTGTCTGACCTCCAGATACGCACCTGCATTCGATACCCACACTCGAGTCCGTGTAACATAGATAACCCCTACCATGAGCAACCCTACGACCTCGACCTTGACCTCAACCGCAGTTAGCCATAACAACAACCCAATATGTTCCCAAAGTTGTTTAGATATACAGATTTCAGACCCAATTCACAAATTAGGATAACTCAGTGTAACTATCAACTCATAGCAGTATGAAGTCTCAAATATTCAAGGGTCAACAACATGACTATAATATCACGAATTGATTCAAACAGCTTGTATAAGGAATTTGAACAGCCTATGAATTGAAAACAAAGGTTGAAAGTACCTGTGTGGAACCAGAGTTCAATTACAGATTAAGAATCGAAGTCCCAAATTCAAAAGCATCCTAGTCGTAAGTCATAGTGAGCCTTGAATCCACGAAGTCGCACTACGGCACTGGATCGAATCACGAAATCGACTGTATGGATGTCAAATCGAAATCGATCTGCCCACTAATGTTCTTGAGACGAACTCCCAGTGAAGAACCCAGGCGAAGATTCAATCAGCGAACTTGAATCGAAAGTTCCAACGCTTGATCGACAGTGAATCAAAAAAACCAAATTCAGAGTTGAACCAACAACTCGAATCACGATGATGAATCAAAATCTTGACTGGGTATCGATCTTAGTTTCCGAATGAACTTAGGTTCCGCGACATTCGTTTCTGAGAGCTAACTCCAATGGCAGTTCCATTCGAAGCAAGAATGAACCAATCTCTGAATTGCCAATCAAATTAGGGCTACAATTCGATCTATAATGATGATTCCAGAGATCAATTCATGAATCTAACTCATATTGGGGTTTTGAAGATCAGGCTAATTTCGAGGTAATGGTCTGTGATAATCAGTAGGTTAGGATCTAACTCTTGATGCTCTAATACCAAATGATGAAGAGCCCAATCAAGAATGAGAGTGAATTTAGAGAGAGGGAATTTGGAGAGAGAAATATCTCAATCTATCAATATTCATATCCAAAGTTGGTTACAAAGTGGTTATCTTCTTCTAGATATAGGCTACAATTTTCCCTCCACTTACTATCACATGTTATGCACATCGTATCCTACATCAGCTAGTAAGATGTTACTGGGATTTTTAGTATATGGTTTTCCATTGATATATTTTGATGCACATATATTCATTTGGATTTGAACTCATTATTGGTTTGAACAGACATGTCATTGGCCTTGATGTTGATGCTCAGTCAATTGAAATTGCATCCATAAATTCAGAAGATCTTGAGGTACTTACTGTTTTTGATTAGTACCAGTGCTTAAGTCCATAATGGTTTCTTTTATTTGTTTGTTTAGGCTGTATTTTGATCTTGGATTTGGAGAATTGTTTGTGGAGGGAAAAGAAAAGTAAAGTGAAACATTAGATTTTTTTTTTTCCCACACTAATCTTCTCTTTTCCTTTCCCATGAAAAATCGCTCCCCAAATCCAAGATTCAAACACAGCTGTGTGAACTAGATTTCCCTATACAAAGAAGTATAATGTTGTTGTCTTTACGAAACTGGCTGATCGATGTGATTTTGGAGGTGCATTCAATACTTGGGTCATTTTGTTTTTTAATGCAGTTGACTGACGTAGTATTGCTTTGTATTGATCAAAAATGCAGTTAGATGTGGACTTTGTTCAAAGTGATGTGAGGAATTTACGATGGAGAGGTAAATCTCTTTATCTCGCTTTCAGTTGCACAAACTTTCACAACGAGAATTCCCCTAGGCTCTCTATCTTCCTTCTTTTTCCAAGCCTCCAGCCAAATTAGGCACTCTCTGTTTCTGGTTTTTTTTTTATTTTTTTTTTTTGTTTTTACTATTTTGCACATCACACATTTACAGACAAAATACAGTGGATGGGCAAAAGCAAAACTCTCTCTCTCTAACATGGTCGCACAATAGAAGTTCAGTATGCTTTTGTCATTAGTAATTATGTGTTTGTGTGTGTGGTGCATTCCTTAACTCAAATAGTACATAGAATGTCAAAATCGAGCATCAAAGAAGTTATACCACAGAATTTTATCCAGGGAAGTGCTGGATTTGGATTGGCTTGGAGAGAAGTGTTTGTTTTCTTGAAGACATTACAAACTATTCTTTAAGAGATGTGTTGATAGCTAGTTTATCTTTTGGATATTTCCGTAGAAATATTGTTGTATAGCATTTGGGTCTGTTGGTATTGAGTTGCAATTTGCGTAACATGATATATTTGCTTAATATATTTCTTTTGGAGATGCTAAGCGTACTATAGTATTCGTTCATTTACCAAAGTAGTGATCTTGCTTTCATGTGTAGGTCCAATTGTTGATACCGTTGTTATGAATCCTCCGTTTGGAACCCGGAAAAAGGGAGCTGATATGGACTTTCTTTTTGCGGCTTTGAAGGTAAAGAGGCTAGGACTACTTTTTGACGCATTGAATGCACGTGTCCGTTCTTTCTTGTTCTAATTAGTTTGTGTTGTAAATTGCTAATCAGATTGCTTCACAAGCAGTTTATTCCTTGCATAAGACCACGACAAGAGATGTAAGTAGCTTGGTCTCAAGTTATTGTTTTAAGAATTGAAACTTTTTGAAGTAGATGGATTGGAGCTATTTTTCCATATTATCTATGACGGGGTGATGGATATGTGACAAGTTTGTGGCTGAGGAAGCCATAAAAGAATGGCCATTAGTTTTGATGTCAATTCTGAAAATATTCATCGACTAATTTTGGCTATATGGTATACTCTTCCAAACATTTTCCTTCAAGTTTAAAATAATCTAGATATCTTTGTTGTCACCGGTTCTTTTCTGGCTTCTAGATTTTATTCTTGTTCCCTCTTGAGGTAGTGTTCTTAGTGAACTCTTTTCTGTCGCGGCATACACTTGATTGTGTTTCCTCATTATAGCTTGATTGTTTTCAGAGCTTCAAAACTCTCTCTTTGACGAAAATGAATGTTGTTCACCTCTTATATTATTCATTTAGAAAGATTCCTTCCAATGAATGGTTTCGAAAGATGTTTGTCGTGACCATGGTTGTTAGAATTGTTTAACGAATCTATTCATTCAATTTGATCCAAGTTTCAACCAAAACAATTTGATTTGTGCTGTTGAATATTAAATTGAATGAATTGTACGATTCAGTTGCAATTCACTAAGATTCATTGCTTTTTTTTTTACTGTTATTCAGTCCTGTTTGCATAATGCATGAAACGACATTGTTTTGAAAATGAAATAAAAACAAATCAATCAATTATATCAATATACATGATTATATATATGTATAATTTACTTTCTGATTTCAGCATGTGAAAAGAGCAGCATTGAGGGATTACAATGCTAAAAGTGCTGAGGTATTATGTGAGGTACACAATTTATCTGGCTCCTTCCAGGAATAGAATATACATACTCTGATTCAACGTAGTTGTTAGAATCTTGCTTCCATGCTGTTTTACTTTATTTTGTGTTTAAGAACACGTAATGAGTAAGTACACAATTTGTGAATGCTCAATTATTGTAGATTTGTTACCTGGTTTCTTACGTTTTCCTCCAGCTTCGATATGACGTGCCACAACTATACAAATTTCACAAGAAAAAGGAAGTGGATATTGCCGTGGACCTTTGGAGATTTGTTCCTCAGAGAATTCAGGGAAAGGGTTTTTAACAACTCATTCAAGACAATGCATCCAGTTTTTCAAGCGATGAACATGTGTGAGATTTAGAGAAATGTGATGGTATCTTTTGTGAAAAACAGAATGTGTGTTCTGCGTACCCAATATTATGAGGGGCTCCATAGCTGCAGTGCCCCATTTGTAACGGATGTGAGATTTAGAGTATTTTCTTGACCCATTCATATTTGTTATCGGAACTGAATAATTAGACAGGATTTTCCATAATTTTTATATATTTTATACCCTCATCAAGAAATAATGTGTGTATTTATCATTCATTAGTAAAATATTATCTATTTGATTAGTTCTCTGACAAATCCATTTTGCAGCAATCCTGTCAAAATAGAGCAGATGCTCTTCGGAGGAAGAAAGGAAAAGTGTTGACCTAAACCGGATGGCTGAAATTCCAAAGAATATGTGTCTACTTCCTTCCCATAAGAAATGGAGTGCATGTTTTGAAATCGCACTTTCGTGCCCTCTTATATCACAAATTTGGTCGTACCACACTTGCCTGTAAATACATGGAAATTGGTTTTTGCTTCCAAGCTACACTACATATTCCAAATAACAGTTCCACGGTGAGTTAATTCTCAAAGGAAAATTATTCAATGGTCAGTACCATCATGGCAATTGTTGTGGTGCTTCTGACCAATGAAGCTATACAAAAGAGATGGATGAGACCGACATTGTTTCCAGCTCAACTAAGGGAGGTTAAGTTGACTCTACCCATTTATATCGACGACTCTTATTGGTTTAGAAGCATTATGTAAGCGTGTTGGGTTGGTACTCCCGAGATTATTGACTGCAATCCACTAACGACATGCAAAATTGACTTCAGTGCAATAAATGCAGGAATTCCAACTTGAATCTGTGTGTTGAATCTTCAGAGATGAAGAGCAATTTTATCACCAAACAGTCATGAAAGCACTAACTTTCATGAACATACCCGTCCTGTGTTAGGAAACAATAACAAAAAAGGCAGAAAGTGAAAAAAAATAAAAATTCACACGTTTTATCACCTATATCTATGTACCATAAATTTATATACATAACAAATAAAATTATATATATATAAAAAACCTATATCACCTCTGTGTTCATATTTTATTTTTTCAAAATCATTTGTCCCTTGGTCTCTGTGTTAGTGCTTCTTTGATGGTACAATTCAAAACTGTATTTGCATATTTGTTCTTCTAGCTTTCTATATTAGAAAGAATAACATATATAGATATGCTTCTCCATCTCTCTCAGAAGTAAAAGCAAAATGTAGTTAGTAATAATATGTAACATGCATCAGTGCTAACCACATAAAATGGATTTCCTTTCATCACAACAAAAATAATCTGACAATACTTTAAAACCTCAACAAACTTACCATTCTCAGTATTTCCAAGTGAAAAAAAAGAAAAGAAAAGAAAAGAAAAGAAAAAAGAATCATATCAAAAAGCTCCCTCAGATTCGATTCTATGCATCCACTCACATTTTCACTTCTTTTTCACAGCATCTCATGCTTCATTCTCTGTTTTTGCAGTTTCATTCATCTCTCCAAGCGTAAACCGAACAAACCTCCTAACTTTTATGTTCTCCCCTAGAGCAGCAACGGTCTGCTTCACCAAATCCTTCACCAAAATGCTATCGTCTTTAATGAAAGGCTGTTCTAAAAGTGCAAGCTCTCCAAGCCTTTTGGAGATTCTCCCCTCAACAATTCTCTCTCTTATGTTCTCGGGTTTCGACAAAAGGTCCTCTCTCTGCATCTCCAGTTCCTTTTCCTTGATCCTAACACTCTCCGGAATATCTTCTATAGATACAAATTGCACTTGTGGGCAAGCCACAACTTGCATTGCTAGATCATCAACCAACTCCTTGAACTTTTCACTTCTTCCCACAAAATCAGTTTCACAGTTGACTTCAATTAGTACTCCAATGCGAGCATCATGAATGTAGGATCCGATCCTTCCTTCGGCCGCGAGCCGACTGGATTTCTTGTCAGCAGCTGAGAGACCCTTTTTTCTAAGGTACTCTTGTGCCTTTTCGAGGTCCCCTCCAGTTTCAGAAAGAGCTTTCTTGCAGTCCATCATGCCCGCACCGGTTTCTTCACGCAGTTGTTTAACCAATGCAGCTGAAATTGTTGCTTTCGGTGGCCTGGAATAGGGCTTGAGCATATTAATTACCAGCAAGTCTTAATGGTAATATTAGTAACAAAAGAACATGCATGCATTCAAGCACAAAATTTTGTCTGACACACGCACACTAAAACAAACAAAATATATTTGTTTTAGAATTTAATTCATCAAATTCATGACAAAGTGGCTTAAAGGAAAACGAGCTGATGTTTTAGATTTCTTTATAATTTCATTGTCTACTGCTATGATCTAAGAAGCACAATGTCATGTCGGACACGACACTTTGTAGACACTTCAAAAATCCACCACTTTTTCAATGTGTCTTAATTAAATAAATTTAATTCATAATATTAAACATTTTGCAGACACTTTGGTGATGTAATGAATCTCTTCATAATAACAATCTTCTTCATTCTTCATAATGCAATTTGTGCACCCTAAATATGTTTTGAAACATTTATAACGTGAATACATTATATGAATTTTAATGTTCTATAATTGCTTTGTATTCTTTAGAATGCAATTGTTATGTAGATGATATCTTGATGCTTAAATTATGAAACTTGACTTTTTAATTCTAATTTGGGTTATGTTGCTTTTTTCATTATCTTTGAATAAACTATTCATATATTTGACATATAATAAATTTATAAACATTTAAACTTTTAACGTGTCCTAGGTGTATGTATTGTGTCTTGCATTTTTCGAAAATCATCATATCAATATATCTGTGCTTCTTATGGATAAATTAGTACAGGGCATGACCTGTCTGAAAAAGTTGACATTTAAAACATGTTTGCTGTCATTTGCACCTGTTTATGCGGGTCCTCAAAAAACACTACAAGATTTCAAACCTCGGCTACGTGCTGCCTAATTTATCCTCAATTCACAGAAAATCTCTGTTTGATTTTATTTTCAGAATATGTTTTAGAAAAATACTAAAAGTTAATGTAGTGAAAAGTTAGTGAAAAATTTAAAAACGCTAATCGTCTTCATATAATTTTTTCTTTTTTGTATAAAAATGGTTTTTGAAAATTCAAAAACATCTTTTTGGTGTCTATTTTCAACAAATTAGTTTCTAGTGTTTTTTAGAAAACAAATTCTGAAAACGAAACTAGATAGAATCTCAACAATATACCATAGTTCAACAGAAAGTCACCACTTACGTATCAACAGTTCCCTTGGCTTCAGCCACGGCCGGCTGCTCTTTCCCCGGTGAAGCCACCTGTTTTGCAGCTGTTTGGGCAGCCACCTCTGCTGCAAAATCCTGACTTTTCTTTTCCAAGCCTTCTCCAAGGTTGTAACGCACAAATCTCTTCACCTTAATATTTTCCCCAATGGTTGCAATGGTCTGCTTCACCCAGTCCTTAACCACCATCTTATCATTCTTGATGTACGGTTGCTCAAGCAATGCCAGCTCCTCAAGCCTCTTTCTAATCCTCCCTTCAACAATCTTTGACCTAATCTGCTCGGGTTTTGACAAGAGATCTTCTTTCTGCATTTCAATTTCTCTTTCCTTGTCGACAGTTTCTTTGGGAACGTCTTCCGTAACAAGATGCTGTACTTGAGGGCATGCAGCCGCTTGCATAGCTAGATCATCGACCAATTCCTTGAAAATGTCACCTCGAGATACAAAATCTGTCTCACAGTTCACCTCTATAAGGATACCAATTCTACTATCATGAATGTACGAACCGATTCTTCCTTCAGCAGTGGCTCTACTGGCTTTCTTATCTGCGCTTGCTAACCCTTTCTTCCTGAGAAACTCCTGAGCTTTTTCCAAGTCACCTCCAGTTTCTGAAAGAGCTTTCTTGCAGTCCATCATTTTTTTGCTCCTGTTTCTTCGCGCAGCTGCTTTACAAGAGCTGGTGATATGGCTGCTGTAAAACACACGAGAGAATTGATTAGAGAAAACAATATTATAACTCAGCTAGAATATCTTTTCTAGAGTTAAAAGAAGCAATTAAACAAACAATCAAGTCATGCAATACATCTGCACCAAGCATCAACATTGTGGATTGACAGATTGATGAAACTTAACTCCTTTTGCATGTGGCTCAATATTTTGATATCAACTCCATTGATGATGTTTTTCAAGGTTGTGTTTGAATCATGGATTTGGATAGGGATTTGGAAGGGGAAAGGAAAAGGCAATAGAAATGGAGAAAAAAATTTAGCATATATTTCATATCTTTACCCAAATCCATGAAATAAACACATCAAAAAAAATGAAATTGTTTTAATAGTGAATCTTGGTAGAGAAGGGAGACAAAGTAAGAAAGGGAAGATCTCGAGAAGAAAAAACAGGAAATGAGGAAGAACAAAAAAGACTAAGGCCCGCCAATAACCTAAAGGGAAAAAGTGAATAAAATATAAGTTAAATTTTGTTCACTTTTTCATTTCCCTTTCCTTTCCCACCACCCCACAAATCCCACTCAAATCCTTGATCTAAACACGGGTGGCATAAAGTTCCCTAACAGTTTGCTCAAAGGTCAAATTCCTCTTACTACCAATGGCAATATTAGCAGTGCCTGGAATGATGAAAATGTCCTCTATTAGAGGTCATGGTCTATTTATCATGTACTTGTATATATAGTCTAGAAAGTCAACGTGGTTCACTAATCCAACCTTACATAGAAAGAAGCAACATTAGTAAAGAGGCTGACAATGACCGTAGTTTACTTCTTCTGCAGTTCCATAATTTTTATTACTATGATGACATGTTATTATGTTAATATCTTGTTGAATGCTTTCTAATAAAGGACTCCTGTAGGTTGGATTATCTTAGAAGATTTAGGCATTCACCTAAGACAACATTTCATTTAATAAAGCAGATACAGATTGGATTGCAGGAGAAATAATACAAATATCAATACATGCTGGACGAAGCGCTTCTATTCTTGGGGAAAGTGTTGCAAAAAGAGACTGTAAAATGAGTGTACAAAACCACATATTCAACAAATACAAGGCGCACGCCATTTTCATTATACTTTCATACGTCCAGTGTGTTACATGAGCAACCATAAAATGTCTGAAACTACATTATTGACTAGTATTAGGAATGCATTCATTAGTTCTAGTATGTGACCAACATAATCATCTTCAGCCCATTTTAGAACAGAAAATTAAAAACTTAATAAAGGATAATTAATTAATTAATTTTTTAAAATCTTAAATCAAAATTTGACTCTTATTTAATGCACTTAAGCCCACTATAGACTTCAGCTGAACCAATTATATCTCTATACGGATTCATCGAGTCACAAACTATATTACCCTCAAATGATCACTATTTCAGAATACTACAAACATGTACATAAAAGAACAATGTAAAACATACATAAAAAAGTACATTAAATCAGATCTGAGACGTGATTATTAATCATTTCTTGTATTTAAGCACTAAGTTATCAGTCATGGTGAATGTGTCAAAGAAAGTGATTGGTTTCAGTTTTTTTATTTTTTATTTTTTTAATTTTTAATTTTTACATGTCCTCTATACCATTATTTCAAATACACACCTACACATGTACATGTTTGTTAAAAAAAAAAAACTTTAGCTTTATATTCATTATAATGTTTTTCCGCCATGCCACCCAGTTCTAATATACATTTGGTAAATATAATCTTAGAATGAACATGATTTGCAGTTTTCCTAAACACATTCCAGACAAGAAACAGTAGTTTACCATTGGTTGTGCTTTCCTTTGGGGAAGAGGTACCATTTTGGCCATTTGAATTGATAGCAGTGCCATTTTTCTCAGGGACAGATCCCACCTTCTCATTACCAACTGGTGTGGCAGAAGGAATTTCATTGTCTGCAGCAGAAGTTTCATTTTTCAGTTCATCCTTCGCCTTAGAGTTGTCAACTCCATTCTTCACTTCTTCATTGACCTTCTCATCTTCAACCAGTGCAGCAGAAGCAATTTCATTGTCTGCAGCAGGAGTTTCTTTTTTCAGTTCATCCTTCACTTTGGAGTTGTCAATTTCATTCTTTCCTTCTTCATTGACCTTATCATCTTCAACTAGTGCGGCAGAAGGAATCTCATTTTCTGCAGCAGGAGTTTCATTTTTCAGTTCATCATTTGCTTTAGAGTTGTCAATTTCATTCTTTACTTTTTCATTAACGTTCTCATCTTCGGCTAGTGCAGCAGAAAAAAATTCATTTTCTGCAGCAGGAGTTTCATTCTTCAGTTCAATTTCATCCTCTGCTTTAGAGTTCTTAATTTCATTCTCTACTTCATTGAACTGACTTTCTGGAGATGAATTGATCGTTAGCCATTCCACCAGATACTTTGGTCAGATTTTACATCTTTTCTGTAAGCTTTGCCACGGTTACAAACTAAACTACCAACTATTTTACCAACCACTCACATGTGTGTGAGACTGACGCACGTGGGTCCCATGTAAAATAACTGGTAATTTAGTTTGTATCTTTATCTTTTTTTGACTTTCAATCCATCTATGTGTACATGTATACAATTTTCACTTTCATAAACAAATAAATAATGCCTTCTAAAAAACTTGAGGAGTGAGCATACTGTACATTCCTATAGGTATATTTTCATAGGCAGGTAGGAGAAAGCAAACTATAATGGCATTAATCACTTCACTTTTATGAAGACATAGTATGACCAAACTGCATATACATGAGAATAATTGGTGGTTAATAGCATATTTTTGTTACATTAATTAGCTTTCCTTCTGACTAAATTACCTAAAAAAGAAAAAAAAAAAGAAAAAAGAGAGAGGATAAACTGTGGCATTAATTATTTGGAGAACAATTACATAGGGAACACATTTATAGGACAAAATCTTGTCCTAAACCAACAAAAACAACCAACCTCTCGAGAAATTGGGGTAAGGCTGCATACATCTTGCTCTATCCATACCTTGCTTTAGCAGGAGTCTCATGCACTGGGTCGCTATTTTTTAATCTTGTCCCTCTTTTTCCTTTTTCCCTTTTTTTTAATTTATTATTAAGTACTAAATCCATATTGCATTCTTAACTACCACCTATGTTATATGGACTTGTGTATGGGTGTCGGGTGCGGGTATGTATCTAGATGTCAGACTCATTAAACTATAAATTTAAGAGTACATAGACTCGGCAAAAAAATATCATATTTTTATATTTTTAATCCAATATGTGAAATAAAATTGTACTATATGTAACTTACAGTGTCAAAAAGATATTTATAGCAATTATACAATAATATGTACATATAATAATAGTGTTATATACAATTATTTTTTTTGATAAAAAAACAAATATTATTAAAAAAGCATCAAAGAGAGGCAACAAATACAAACGGCCGCCTCAATTAGGGGAAAACAGAAAAACAAGCACTAACCAATCACATAGTGTTATATACAATTATATAAGAAGTATCCGTTGAAAAGTATCTGACACATATCCCATACCCTTATCTGAGTGTCGGGTGTCCGACACGGATATTTGATTTATTTTGAAGAGTCCGTTTAACATACACTACCACTAATATTATCAAATAATCAAGGTGTTTTATTATTAGACCATGGTATTTGATTTGCCAAATACATCATTATTGTATACTCTTTCATATATAAGATGCAACGCGACGTGATTCTCATCCCTATAGGCTGCTACAACTATTCAAAAAGATACTTGAAACTAGAATGATATTCATCATAAATATTATATTGTGTAATGCAGTTCGGTTGACACCTTTAGCATGGGCCCCTAGGGGAGTGGGGATTGAAGGTTAGGTCTCTACCGAATCCAACCATCCTTTAAAATCTTGTTAAAATTTCAAACATATAGTGCAGATGCTGCATTAGGTTTTGGATAGTCATTTTGAGGAGATAACACTAGAGTTTCCCCAATAGAAAATACAAATGACACTAGCAAAAAGAGTTATTACAGACCTTCGTTGATGCTTTGCTGCACTTCAGGAATATCAATTTGTCCATTTGAGCTGGTAACACTTCCATTTTTATCCGGGTTAATTCCCACCTTTTCATCTTCAGCTATTGTGGCAGAAACAATTTCATTTGCTGCATTAGGGGTTGTTATCTCTACATCTTTCGCTATGGTTTCACCAGCTCCACTCTCTTTAACTTCTTTACTAATTTCACTTTCTGACATGATAGGATCAGTTATTTTCCCAGATAAGTCAGATTTTTTATCATTTGTAGAAACCTCCTCAGTAGCAAACACACCCTCTTCAGCGGACAATATTTCAGAACTAACCTGCACACTATCAATTTCTGGAGCTTTCTCAGTTAGCTGATCTGAAGTAGATATACTTTCTTCAGGAGCCAATATTTCAGAACTTGCATCAGCTTTTTCCTCCATGCTCTGGATCGCCCCGTCTATTGCATCTGATAAATCGGAGACTATGTTTTCTGGGTCCCTATTATCATCGGCAATTTCATTTGAGGCATCTTGTACTGTGCCTCCTTCCACATCCACTTGCTTTGAAGAAATTTCATCATCTTCGACTGTCTTATCAACTGCAGAAAGGGCACCGGCCAGTCCCTCACTGCTGCTTTCTTGTTCACCCTGCACTTCAGTGAGCTCAGTTTGAGTTTGACCTACCTCTCCACCCATCTCATCAGATGTTTTTGGAATTCCTGAACTTTCAGCTTCTTCTGCCTCTTTTTCCTTCTCATCAAGCAATGTTCCAGACTCATTTACCTTTCCTTCTACCTTGTCAGACACACCACTGCTTGTTAGTTGTTCCTGCACTTCATCGAGCTTGGTTTCAGTTTGACTTAAATTTCCTCCAATCTCATCAGAGGTTTGTGGAATTCTTGAATTTTCAGCTTCTTCTGCCTCTTTTTCCCTCTCATCAAGCAACGATCTAGATTCATTTACCTTTGCTTCTACCTTCTCAGATACACCACTGCTTGTTAGTTGTTCCTGAACTTCATTGAGCTCAGTTTCAGTTTGACTTACCTTTCCACCCATCTCATCAGACGTGTGTGGAATTCCCGAACTTTCAGCCAGTTCTACCTCTTTCTCCCTCTCATCCAAAAACGCTCCAATATCCTTATTTTTACGGAAAGCCAACAGGAAGGGGTTTGTTGCCGTGTGGACAACCCCTTGGAGCTTCGAGTCCAACTCTCCAGCAGCTTCTTCTTTTTTCATTGTCAAGGTAACCTGTCCTCGTGTGATGCGCAACACACGGACACTGACTTCTTGACCAACCTGCAACGACGACCCCCCCATCATGTTCACAAACCCTTCATCCAATTCCTCCGATGTTGGCAAGAATCCTTCCTCTCCCTCAGGAAGAGATATAAAAGCACCGGATCTTGTTAAATTCTTTACCGTGCCCTCAAGATCTTGTCCCTTGGCAAACTTTGACGCTTTCTTCACCTCATTTCTCTTCTGGTTGGTCCTTGGTGGGCCCTTTCTGGGGGGTCTTGATTTATCAGTACTTGGAGGAGCATCGGTTCTTTGCTGCAGCTTACTAATGTCATCGCTTTCACGCATAGTAAGAGATATACGTCCCGTCTCCATGTTCGCTTCCACTAATCTCACCTTGACCTCTTGTCCGACAGAAACAATGTTTCCAACATCCTTAACAAAGCTATCACTCAACCGGGAAACATGTACAAGTCCATCGGTAAAAGCTCCAAAATCAACAAAAGCTCCAAATGGTTGGATTGACCTCACTTTCCCGTTAAATGCTGCACCGGGAACAAGTTCCTCGGGCTTTACTGGTGGCATGTCACTCTTCCTAGTAGGTCTCGGACGTTTGCTTTGAGCTGGAGCGGCACTGGCATCTGATTTGACAGAGGATGATTCATCACTTGTTCCAACTGCATCTGATGGAATTTCTTGGCCCGCACCAGAATCTTCATTGGCAACTGGAGAATCTGCTTCCTCTACAGCTAAATCAGCACCGGTGGCTGATGTTATATGGATTCTTGACTTGTGATTTAAAGAAAATCCACTTCTGAATTGTGGAAATAATCTAACAGATGTTGACAATGGTAAGACATCTTTTTGCGAGAACCATGTTTGTTTGGCAGAGTTCCTTAAAATATTGCATCTTTTTAAACATTCATTCTTCCTTGTTGTAAAGGGGGTTCCGGGAATAAGTGGAATGTTGTTTATGGAATTTGGAATTACAGGCATCATGTTTTCACTAAGTGCAGAAGTTGGGAGGTACAGTCAACAGCTAGAATAATATATTCATTACCTCACCTGTAATATAGACAAAAATCATGATGAAAAGTAGACAAAACAAATCTCCCTTGAGATAGAAAAATACATAATATTAGTGGGAACTAGGAAGCAAATTCTATAAGATATGGACTAATAGTTCTCTAAGAAACACACAAACAAGTCATGGCTTGGTTCAGCAAAGCTTCACTCTGGTTGCAAGCTACAATATGAAAGATGAAATATAACAATCTCACGTGTTTAGGGAGATTTGCTCAACAATGCTACACGTACCATCTTTTTATACAACATTTGGAAATAGACTATTTTAGTAACTTTTTGGCTTATTTGGCTAAAATATGAGGTAAAAAAAATTAGTAAGTTTGAGATGATTTTTTGGATTTTTATGAAAAAGCGTACAAAAAGTAGAAAAAAAAGGAAAGAAAAGAAAAAGGAATCATCGTTGTTTGGCTTTTTGGCCATTTTAGTGACTTTTTGCCTTTTTTAGTTCTTCCCAAACCAAGCCTTAATTTACCATCTCATATGTCATCACAACATTGGTTTAATGGATCCCACCACCTGTATCAGTTTACCAATATAGTAATCACACATGAGATGATAAACAAAATATAGTATAAAAATGTGATCATCATAGCAATATTGACAAAATAAATTGCTCTCAAATTAGTTCCAACTTCATTTACACTACGCACATATACTTCTCTAAGAAACACATAAACAAGTCATCAGTCTTGGTTCAGCAAAGCTGCACTTTGGCTGGAAGCAGCTAATGTGAAAGATATCATAGACTGCTCCTGCTGAGTTCAACGTTAAAAACACCATGTTTCATCTACAAACAATTAGTAGCAGTATGCATATAAAGGGAGTGACTTGCATCAAAATTCTCATGAAAATATCTAGCGATTCAAATGCCACAGAAACACATATTCTCCATGGTTAATTTGTCCATTTAGATATTCATAAAATGGATAGTTTTTTTTTTTTTTTTTTTTTTTTTTTTGGGGGGGGGGGGGGGGGGGAAAAGAGTAAATGGATAGTTTTCCTATATTGCTAATCCAGATTATGGAGTGACAGGTCATATAAGAAATCTGTGTCGAATATAAGGAGAGGAAGTTCATAAGCATGTTCCTTTAGCATTGAAAATCTAACAATGCTCAATCTTTTCGCATCATATTATTATCTTCCCAAGATATGAGAATGACTCTACCATTAAATTTGGACCAAAATAGTGCCCAAAATCTAAACAACCTAAATCTTGTAAGCCAAAATTGAGAACGATTGCTTTAACTATGAAATTAAAGGGCCATCGGAAAAGCATACCACATGCATATATTTAGCAAAAAATAAACAGGTAATTGACAACCTGCATTCAATCATAATTTAAAAAGAAACCATTTCTAAAGAAAGCTTATTAGTCCAATGGTACTTGTCAAGGTTCTTCGAAGGTAGTAACACTAGAATCCACAGTTTTAGTAGTTGAATGAATTCCAACTACTAATAACCATGTTGCAACCCTTGGTTTTTAATCTGAAAATTTAAATTATCCTTTATTTATTTGGTTGGAAACCCAATTTCCAACTTGTCCAGGTAGTAAAAATTCCTGTACATATTTGCCTTCTCAGTCCAGATTTAGAGAATTTTTAGGAAAAACTAATGCGGCAGAACGTTTCACATCCAAGGGTTCTTCCAAATTCAGTTTGAGCCCTCTTTTTGGAAATTCACCTCAGCTGAAGCTTATACACTGAACATATGACTTGTGAACATTAAAATAAAAACAAACAAATAAATAAAAAAAACTGCAAGATCATTCTGTATAAGTAACTCATATCATCAGGTAAAAAATCCTCTCTTTGGATTTAAAACATAAAAAACAGAGAAGGAAATTGAGCAATACTTACAAACAAGTGCATTGCAAAGTAAACCAAAGCAAATAAACACTTTAAACTAACACAATTATCCCCAATTCTGGGTTTTTACACATATTCCACACATCAAAGAAGTCATTCCAAAGACCTCTAAATGGAAAAGCCATAACAACTTCCCAAACCAACAATTCATGGGGGGGGGCAAAGAAACAGAGTGAACTCAAAGTAGAAGAAGAGAAATAGAAAACCAAAAAATTGATGGAACCCATTAATGGGAAGCTAGAATTAGAGTAAAAAGAGAATGACCCAATAGAGTATTATGCAATAGAAATCATACCTTCTGACTATTTGAAGAACCCAACAACGGTTCTTGTGTGTGCGTGCATGTGAAGCTCTGTGGGTCTTTGTGAGTGAATGGTGAAAGAAAGAGGGAAATGAAATGTGGGGCTTTAAATCCTTATCTCATCATCGATATATCGCTCTTTTATCAACATAACATCCGTTTTTGTTCCTTTGGCTAAGAGAGAGAATATCATATGTATTAATTCTTTTGTTACACCAGAGGGGAGAGAATATGTATTAAAAATAGAAGGGTAAATTTTAATTAGGGTGAATTATATTTATGACCCCTATAGTTTAATTAGGGCGAATTATATTTACCGTCTTTGTAATTTGAGATTTGTATTATTTTAATTTTTAATTTTTTAATTGTGACGAATTTGACTCTTAATTTTGAATCAAGTTTTTAATACGGATAATTGAAGATATCATTGCTCAATTTCAATGGTAAAATTATCAATTTGATAAAATATAAACTAGTTTAACAAAAATAAATATCAAAAAAATATTTTTAAATTTTTAAAAATTATTTATACCCACCAAAGACAATTATATCAAATTGATAAATCTTTTATATATTTATTTATTTATTTATTTTTACCAAATTAATTTTTAGTACATGTTTAGATGATCATGTAATGCGTGGTTGTTTTTATTTTTATTAAATTAGTTTCTATTTTTTCAAAAGTAAAATATGGCGACAACTTTGATACCATTATTAAACCAATCCATTAAATCAAAAAATCCAAAACTAAAAACATTTCATATATTAAATATATCGATTATATATTAAAAACCTAACAGCCACCCATTACGTGATTATCGTCCAAACACATAATAAAAATTAATTTGGTAAAATAATAAATAAATGTGTAAAAAATTTCTCAAATTTACATAATTTTATCTTTGGTAGGCAAAAATAATTTTTAGAATTCAAAAATATTTTTTTGAAATTTATTTTTGTCAAATTAATATATAATTTATTAAATTGATGACTTTACCCTTAAAATTGAGTAATGGTATATATAGCGATTCTAGTTTAAACCCAACACATTTATTGTTTTGGATCCAGGTTTTCTTATCATGATGGTTGTTCGTGTCTTCTTTCATTTTATTCCTTGTTGAGTTTGACCATTGGAGTGTCTTTGTTGTGTTTGAAACAGGTTGGGAGTTAGTCTTTTCAAAAATTGTTCTGCCCAGATTTTAGCCTATTTGCTCGAACGAACTTTCTTGCGCTTGAGCGAATTTTGAGAACTTCCACTACTTATGTAGGTCTGCAAAACTACTGGGAGTATGACATTCTTCGTTCGAGCGGTCTTTTGGAACTCTCAGTACTTTTACAGGCTTGCAAAAGTACTGAAAGGGTAGTGTTCTTCGCTCGAGTGGTCACTTTATTCGCTCGAGCTGTCCTTGTTGTGTTTGGTCGCTCGAGCGACCATTTATGTACTCGAGTGGTCTGCGCGTACATCAGGTTATAAAAGTCACTTTTTGGATCACTTTTTCACTTCTCTCTCTCTCTCTCTCTAAATCTCAGATCTACACATTCTCTATCTAGAAACCGTCTCTACACTTCAAATGTACCTTGATCCATCAATCTCTACACCCTAGTCCCTTCGATAAAAGAGAGAGCACGTCGAGGGTTTCATTCTAATAGGAGAAGTTTGTGTTTTCAGCTTCATTGAGTTCTACCCACCTCTGCTTTGAGTTTTCTTCTTTAAGGTAGAGATTACTTTGACACTTTGTATGGTTTTTAACTCATTTATTTGATTTTCTAAGCTATGCTGTGATTTGGAAATTTTTAAACAAAAATCTAGGATTTTAGTTTAAAAATTCAAAAGAGGGGTTTTTAAAATAGGTTCTTGTATATAATTGTGGTTTTGTAAAAATAGTTGGGTTGCGATAAATGATGGATTTTGTTCTTGGGAAATGATTTTTAAAGAAAGGTAGTTTTGCCCTAAATTGTGAACATTTGATGGTTGTAAAGAGGAAATGAAATTGATGCGATTTTTATGGAATTGGAATGATGATGATGATGATGGTGGAGTTGGATATGAATTATTACTCCTATTTGAAAATGTTGGACTAACAAGGGTTGGTTCAGCTAGTAAGGCTCATTCCTTTCGCCCATTTGGTTTAGGTTCGAGTCCCGCTGCCAGCAGTCCTTTGTTGGAGGGAGATATTGTGTAACGCTTTTCCTGGCCTTGGAGTGGGGGTAGCCTCCCCTCCTCCTAAACTTTTTTATGAATCAAAAAAAAAAAAAAGAAGTAAATGTTGGAAAGTATATTTGTGTTGAAAATTAAATTATCTGTTTAGAGATATCTGTTTTAGGCTATCGGTGGAGGATAACTATGATTATTGTAGAAATTGCATGAGAATTAGGTGAGTTGAAACTAATTTCACATCCATTGCATATAGCATGGTAACATATTTAACACATTGAAAATGGTTATCGTTTTAAGAAAAATGGGTGAATATCTTAGTGAATCTGGATAGGAGTGTAGTTATGGTATTATATTAGCTTGTGTGTTCTTGGTGAAAGTTCAGAAACCCACGCGGATAGGTACCAAGCCTTCTGGTTAGTACCAGTAAAAATGGCAATTGGTAGTGCTTGTAGCCTACTTGTAGACACATCCTAGAGATTCCCAATGTTGTATCCACTGCCCTGTTTTCTATTGTGAAGAAAGTGATTTCATGAATTGAGATATAACCTAGCATTACATGATTTTTGGAAAGACATATAAAATATTTTTGGCATGAGCGTTGTATATACATTCACTTTATGACTCTGTTAAGATTCATATACTGTGTTAGAGTATCTTTACTGGGCTTTGGCTCAACCTATGTGGGAAGGCATTTTCAAGTACTAATGATATGTCTTCACAAAGGCAATAACTTATGAGGACTTGGAGCCAAGAGCTTCTATTTTTTTGTGTGGTTATTGTTGTATTTATTTTGTACAAGTGTAGGGCTATATTTGTATGGAGTTTAAACTTATTTTTATTGTAACCAAGCACCGTTTTGGAAAAGTTGTAGCCAATAGGGCATTATTATATCTGTTTAACTCTTATTTCATATCTTTTGCTATGACACATGCTATAGATTCAAGGTTAGAACTTATGAATGCATTACTGCATGCACTATACTTTTGTAAAGAAATGAAACCCTATGAATTGGAGAACATTATATTCAGACACCTACTATTATTTAATATCTGTCGTTGGATGATCTTATTGTAATTATTTGGGGGCATTACAACTTGGTATCAGAACTATCTAGTTTGAATACTTTGGGATCGTGGGAAGTGGTTATTACTACAATAGGTCCCTTGCTAGATGATATTAGGAATAAACTTGGTATGCTATGTGATAACATGCTTATGTGATTAAGTGGGTATGTGATTTAATTTCTAAGATATTGATTGGTCTACAAGTTTCTAGAAGTCATATTAGAAGAGCACTTGATCACTGCTATTTCTAATTGGAACTCTAGCAACATCGTGGGACGATCATTATGTAGAAAGGAAATTAGTATGTGTTTATGTAACTATGTGCTTATGTGGAGTGAATTAATTGTTGTACACCGCATTAGGATGCAAGTGAGTTAGCTTCGATAGATTTGTATATAGCGATTCTGGTTTAAGACCTGAACGATTTGAATTTCTGAATTCAGGTTTCATGGTTTTGTATTGCTATTCATGTCTTATTCCTTTTTTCCCTTTTTGAGTTTGGTTATTGGGATGTGTTGGTGGTGTTTGGAATAGGTTGGTACCTTGTTTTTAAAAATCTTGTTGCCTAGAATTTTGCCTTTACGCTCGAGCGTCACTTCTTGCGCTCGAGGGGCCTTTGTGAACTCTCAGTACTTTTTCAAGTCTACAAACTACTAGGAGAGTGTATTTTACGCTCGAGTGGTACTTCCTGGGCTCGAATTGTTGTGCGTTGGAGCGACTCTTTTTGAGCTCGAGCGTTGGCCTCCTGTCTGCAAAACTACTAGGAGTGTGTATTCTTGTAGCGATCCTAGTTTTAACTCTTCTCTTTGTAGTATTCCGAGCTCAGGTTGGTATGGTTTTGAACAGTGTTACGTATCTTAGTTTCCCTGTATTTTCCTTATTTTGGTTATCGGGTTGTAGCGGTGTGTTTGGAACAGGTAATGTCTCCAAACCTTTAGATGCGAATACAACCCGAATTGTGCCTTGCAGAGTTGTATCAGAAGTTAATTCTTTTATGTTTTGGCACTTCATTGAGTATGTCGGGGATTGAGCTACTCAGTCAACTCGCGGGGGTCCAGGGGGTAATGCTCCTTGGCTGGTCCGGGGCAGCGCCCCTGAAGCAAAAATGCAAAATGCATTCGAAGTTGCTTGTCCGCTCGAATGGCCATTTATGCGCTCGAGCGGAGAATGTTTGGTTCCAAAAGTTTAATCTGTTTGCAAAAGTATTGGGAAAGTGTATTTGACGCTCGGGCGGGGCTTTCCACGCTTGAGTGGACCATGTTATATCAGTTCGTGAATCTGATATTTCAGATCACTTTTTCAGTCATCTCTCTCTCTAAAACTTTCCAGAATTTCAGATATGGAGCTTCACTCTCTAGAAGTCATCTTCTCTCTTTGATTTTTCTAAATCCATTGGGATTTAGACCTAAGTTCTTCACCAAAGTTGGTTATCATCTCAAGAGCTTCGTTGTGTGTGGTGAAGATCGAGTTTAGGCATCGTTGATTTTGGTGCTTTATCTCAATTCTTCTTCAATACTTGAGGTAGGGATTTTCTTAGAGTTATATATATATTTTTGCAAGGTTTAGATGATTTTCGAAATCATCTTTTGATAGCTTTGAAAATTGATTGTTGATTCAAGAAGTTGAGCGATTTTGAAAGTGGTTTTGTCTCTTGTTCTTTTAAAATGATCTTATGGGTTTTGATCTTCGTTGATTGAAGAAAAGATGATTTTGGAAAGTTTTCTTTCAAAAGATTTGAGTTATACAGTTTTGGTGAGAAAATCTAGAAATTAGGGATTTTTAAAAGAGATTGAAAATCCATAAATGATATTGTTATATTTATTTGGTGTGTCAAAATAAATGGTTGTTTGGAAAATTTCTTATTTATATTTATATAAATGATGAATTTCATGGAATATGAGAATTGTTGTTCATTTTGAAAATTATTA